CAGTCTGTAACGGAAGACCAGTAGACGACGGGAGAGTAACAACCTGACGAAGAGCAGAGTCAGGCGGCGGCAGAGACGACGGAGACGGCGGAGCGAAGAACAGTCGTGTCGGCGCAGCTGCACCAGTACCGGCAGCTCCAGCAGCTCCAGTGCCTCCAGCAGCTCCAGTACCTCCAGCAGCTCCCGTACCTCCAGCAGCTCCAGAAGCTCCAGTCCCAGAGCCGACACCCCCAGTCCCAGGGTCTCCAACCTCTGTGTCTCCAGCAGCAGCACCCCCAGACCCAGCACCTCCAGTCCCAGGGTCTCCAGCCTCAGTGTCTCCAGCAGCAGCACCCCCAGAACCAGCACCTCCAGTCCCAGGGTCTCCAGCCTCAGTGTCTCCAGCACGAGCACATCCAGAACTAGCGACTCCAGCACCTCCAGTAGACAAAGGACCAGCACCACTCCTAGCTCCAGCAGCGCGACGCTGACGGCGACCGTACCAGTCCTGCAGCTGCTGTGGGGTGAGAGGCACACGTGGACGAAGGCGGCTACTCCAAGGAGACCGCGCAACAGCAGACTCAGAACCCTCAGCGCCCGCACCCCCAACGGCTCCAGAACCTCCGGTGTCAGTACCCTCAGCACCAGTACCTCCAGCGGCTCCAGAACCTCCAGCACGAGCACCCTCAGCAGCTCCAGAACCTCCAGCTCCAGCGCCACCAGTACTAGGCCCTCCAGCAGCTCCCGAACCTCCAGCGCCAGCACCCTCAGTAGCTCCAGAACCTCCAGCGTCAGTACCGCCAAGCTCAGCACCCCCAGACCCCTCACACTCAGGCTCAGCACCACCAGGCTCCACACCCTCAAGCTCCGCACCCTCAGGCTCAGCACCCCCAGGCTCAGCACCCCCAGGCTCAGCACCCCAAGGCTCCGCACCCCCAGGCTCAGCACCCCTAGAAGTAGCACCCCGAGAAGGACCACCCTCAGTAGGACCTGAGTCACCAGTGACCTCAACCGGCGCAGTCAAGGGAGGAGGGTCTACCTGAGAAACACCTGAAGGAGCAGGACCAGGAGTGGGGAGGGGGTCTACCTGGGGAGCACCTGGAGCGAGGAAGAGCGGCGGGGGGGGGAGCGGGGCAGTGCGGTAGGGGAAGAGACGGTAAAAGGGAACCGACTCGTCGAACGTGACGTCCTGAGACGCAAAGACACGGCGCGAGGTGGGATGGTAAAACTGCCAACCAGGCGCGTCAGGGACAAAGCCAAGGAAGACACAGGGAACAGCGCGGGCGGAGAGCTTGTCCGCGGTGGTATCGCGGACAAAGGCACGAGCACCCCAGACCCGGAAACGCGACGCATCACCAACCTTCCCCGTCCACAGCAGTGTGGGCGAGGTCTCCGGCAAGGAGACACGGGGCCAGAGGTTGAGCTGATGCGCGGCGTACCGGACCGCAAACGGCCACAGGAAATGGGGGGCAGCCGCATGGATCATGGAGGTACGAGCGACCTCCATGACTAAGCCAATGCGACGCTCAGCAACCCCATTCTGCTGTGGAGAGGCCGGAAGCGTGAACGACTGGGTGATGCCGTGCTCCGCACAGTAGGCTGCCAAGAGGTCAGAGGAGAACTCACCACCTCTGTCAGAGTGCAGACGCAGGACAGGAAAGTCCCGCCGGAACCGCTCGTGGAGCTGGAGACGAACAGCGCGGATCCAAGGGATCAAAACATCAGGGACGTCCCCCTTGCTCTGCAAGGGGAAGACCGTGGTGTAACGCGTGTAGTCGTCGACAACCAGCAGGAAGTACCGCTCGCGGCCCTGTCCCTGGACGCGGGCTGGGCCCCACACGTCCAGGTGGAGCATCTGCAGTGGAGCCTCTGTGGGAGGAAACGAGGAGGAGTGAGGAGCGGCGCGCTGCCGCCCCTCGACGCAAGGAATGCAGGGCGGCGCAGGCGAGGGAGGGAGGGCAGGCAGAGACCTGGGAAGACCAGAGACCAGGGAGCGAGAGTGCATGCTACGCAGGCGAGGCAAGGAGGGGTGACCAAGACGGTGGTGCCACAGGAGAGTGTCGTGCGACAAAGCGCGACACTCGCAGGGGGCCGCCAGCTGACCAGACGTAGACGCAGACGCAGCTACCTGAGGGGACTCAGTGGTCAGTGTGTACAGACTCGAGCCAGGTGCACGGGTGAACGTGGCCAAGTGCCGGCCCGTCCTAGCACACGTACAGTGAGTCACTCGCTGACTCGCAGGAGTGAACTGGTCAACCCCCCGATCCTGGAGGTCAGCTCCACTCACCAAGTTCGTAGAGAACGAGGGGAGGTAAAGACCTGACAGCGAGCCGGACGGGACGGCCGGACACGGCAGAACCGTGGAGTAGTGGGCAAGGACCGGACCCCCGGAGGGGTCCGCCAGGGAGACTGGAACTGGCCGACTAAGCGGCGTGAGTGTGGTGCAGTCGCGAAAGAAGGAGCGAGAAGCTCCTGAGTCAAGGGTGAAGGTGTGCGAGACCGTAGTTGGCGCAGTACCAGAGAGAGCAGACTCACCAGCACCTGAAGCCACGGCCTCACCAGTACCTAGAGCAGTAGACGTACTAGCACCGAGAGCAGCAGCCTCACCAGCACCTAGAGCAGGAGACGCACTAGCACCTAGAGCAGCAGCCTCACCAGGGTCAGGCGGTACGCACAGAGAACAGGCACGATCAGCACTAGTAGGCAATGCATACATGGCAGTGAGAATAGCATCATAGTCAAGCGCAAAGATATCTACCCTCTGTCCATGCAGCTCCAGCCAGGTGGGGAGCTCAGCCTCGTCGCCAAACACTGTGCGCCAGTCGTCGCTCAGACGGGCGAAGCAGCGGGACTGTGTGTGACCAAGCGTCCCACAAGGCTGACCAGTCCTAGCACCTGTGCGAATGACGTACGGGCAGCGAACTGTACGCGTAGACCTGCTACACTGAGCGTACCACTCCTGGAGCTGCCGGGGCGTAAGTGTCTCACGTGGACGCCCCTGCAGCTGCAGCTGGCCACTGCCAGACGCTCCCAACTGACCAGCTCCAGGGCGACAGCTACGACGGCTACTGCGACAACCCCAGCTAGTATACCACTCACTAAGCTGCTGGGGCGTCAGAGGCTCGCGTGAACGTCGCTGGAGCTGCATCTGGCCACCTGCCAGTAGCAGTAGCAGCAGCAGTAGCGCGGGCAAGGCAGGCGCGGCAGGCAGGCAAGCAAGCAGGCAGGCAGGCAGGCAGGCAGGCCGGCAGGCAGGCAGGCAGGCAGGCAGGCAGGCAGGCAGGCAGGCAGGCAAGCAGACAGACAGGCAGGCCGGCAGGCAGGCAGGCAGGCCGGCAGGCAGGCAGGCAGGCAGGCAGGCAGGCAGGCAGGTAGGCAGGCAGGCAGGCCGGCAGGCAGGCAGGCAGCCAGGCAGGCAGGCAGGCAGACAGGCAGGCCGTCAGGCAGGCAGGCAGGCGCTCACCAAAGGCTGGGAGAGCAGGCGCTCACCGGGCGAGCAGGGCCGGCGCTCGACGGGCGGCGGCCGAGTAGGCGCACGACAGCGGCGGCGTCGGGGCCGCAAAACCGGCTGCAGAGCAGGGCCGAAGCAGCTGCAGGGCGGGGCCGCTTCAGCGGCAGTAGCAGGGTGGGGCCGCGTCAGCGGCAGGTCGGGGCCGTGGCAGCTGCAGGGCGGGGCCGCATCAGCGGCAGGTCGGGGCCGTGGTAGCTGCAGGGCGGGTCCGCATCAGCGGCAGGTCGTGGCCGAGGCAGAGGGCCGCGCGCGGCTCGGCGCGGGCTGCGCTGACAGCGCGCTGAGCTGCTGCAGGCCGCGCGCGGCCGCGCTAGGCAGTAGCGGGCCGCGCGCGGCTCGGCGCGGGCTGTTGCGGGCCGCGCGCGGGCCTCGCGAGGCCGTAGCAGGCCGCGCGCGGCTCGACGCGGGCTGCGTGGGCTCGGCGCGGGCTGCGCGCGGCAGCTGCGGGCTGCGCGCGGCTGCAGCGGGCTGCGCGCGGCTCGGTGCGGGCTGCGCGCGGCTGCAGCGGGCTGTGCGCGGCTCGGCGCGGGCTGCGTGGGCTCTGTGCGGGCTGCGCGCGGCTCGGCGCATGCTGCGCGGGCTCTGTGCGGGCTGCGCGCCAGGGCCCAAAATAGGTTTAGGGTCACTCTTTCAAATCAGGGTGGCAGGCCCTCCGTACCCTGACTGTTAGGGTATTTTTTTCCGTACACTGTTTACAGCAGCCTAAAATTTCTGGTACACTGAATTCAGCAGGGTATTTTTTCCAATACACTGTTTCTTTCACGGAATCTTATATTTGGCTAACAGTCCATACACAGTAAAATGCCATGAAAGCAAACACACGAGCGCGCTTGCAGCCGCACTGCTTCTACGTGGGCGCGCCAGTGGTCATACCGGACAAATGGTCCAGTGGGACCGTGGTGAATTTTGTCTTGGCGCGCACTGTGGCGGAATCCTCGGTAAAAGTGTAGTTGGGCCCGTACCCTGATACGGCCAGTGTAACCGAAATTGTTACCAGAGTAGTTTACAACGAATCCTGATTTCATTAGGGTAAAAAAATTCTTAGCCTGATTTCACAAGGGTAACTGCCAAAAAGCGGCCTACCATCAGGGCAAAAAGGGCATTTTACCCTTGAAATTTAGGCCCTGCTGCGCGCGGCTGCAGCGGGCTGCGTGGGCCTTACGGGCCTCTAGGGGCAGCGCGCTGGCCTAGGGCAGCAGGAGGCAGCGCTAGGGCTGCTGGACGGCGCACATAGTGCATTACGTCACAAGGCAAGGCAAGGCAGGCAGGTACGTGGCGTAGCGCAGTAACCGCAGCGGTAGGTGGACTCGAAAAAAAAAACGGTCCTACGGACCTTAGTGCTCTGAAACCATGTCAGAATCTAGCAGCAGGAATGAATGAACTAGCAGCATGCAGGAGTACAAGTAGTAAACCCTAATTGGGTTGTATCCCATATGGGCTACCCCACTACAGCCTAGACAATATGCAGCATATATGTTTGACACAAATCTCTATTTGTTTAGATTTGTTTCTAAGACTTGGAACTAGTACTGACCGAGCCCTGGGCACGCCCAATCACAGGAGTGTCATCGCCTGGAAGATGAGGTGGCTCAAAGGAAGCTCGCTTGGTAAAGCCGACAACACCTCCTTCCTGTAATGAATATATAAAAAAGAAAATTTGATCAGAGCATCCAATCGTGCCAATGGCACAGTGGTAGAACCCTGCCATGAGCCCGGTGCAGACCCGGGTTCGACTCCCAGCTGGCACAATTTTTGTTTTTGCAAGTCCTGCCTACCTTGAAAGCCAGTTTCTTCAACGCGTTGTCATTGTGGTACTTTTCCGACTCCTTCACAATTGTCTGCGGATCATCGATTTCGAACAGCATGTGCTGGCGGCGGTTTTTGTTCACCATCACCGCGGGGTTCTTGTACAGCTCGCGAGCCATGTTCCACACGGCCAGGCCCAGCCCTAAAGTAAGCATGGCGAACAGCGGGTACAGGGCCCTGAGCTCGGGCTTGAACCTGAAACACATCAACAACAGCAGGAACGTAAGCTTTCCGCCATTACTGGCGCTTTAGCACCAGCAATTTCCCAGAGACGTAATTACCAGCCACTCAGCCGGCCCTGCTGGTGCAGCGGTGCGCCAGGGTGCTCTCCGGGGGGGCGCTTCTTGGCGCCGAGCGCGCGGATCTCCGCGTCAGACATGGTCATCGTCTCCACGTTCTCCATCGACGCGCGCACCGTCGCGCCCGGCGGACGCGCGGTGGGAGAGCTGGTGGCGATGCCACGCAGGCAGGCGAAGGTGAAATTGGCGGAAGAGGGGGGAACCAGATGATGGTTGGTCAGGTTTGGGCGCGTAGCAGCAGCGGCGGCAGCGCGTGAGACGTTTGGCGCAGGCGACGCGCCGAGAGCGGATGTGACGTAGGAACGACCGGAGAGGACGAGGACACTCGCGAGCTGGCGCATGCCATTCTGCCAGAGCGGTGATGGAAGAACATGATTTCCGTCAAATTGCGTACAGTCCGCGTACACGCTTCAACATACGGCACCGAGCTTTACTGAACGGGAGACACAACAGCGGAAACGACGCGCTTTTCGCGCGCTGGGGTTTCGGAACTCACTTGCTTAGATGATATCATGGTGACGAAGTGAATTCACACCCAGACAACCTGACAACCTTGGCGCTGGGCACGGACGCTAATAGGTCTTGAAATTGGAAAGCGAGGCGCTGAGAAGACGGTGAAGAGGGAGAGACGTTGAAGCAAGACCTCGTGTAAATTGAAATGACAGCATCGAAGCTGAGGCTGAACTCTTGAGAGTGATCACATAGCAATCCTGCCCCTGGTACTTCCATCCTTTCCACACGCATCGCGGCAGCAACAGCAACATGGAGGAGAAGCTTCTCACAGCGGCTTGGCTGTGCATGGAACAGAATAGCATTTGTCGCGCAGGCTTACTTCCTTGCCTTGAATATTGCTCGAAACGCAATGCCGCCATGACTGCTGCTGGTTCTGCCGCGTGGAAGCTTGTCGTTGCATGCAGAACAATACTAAGTAGAGTTTGACACATTAGACGGTTCAGTACGGTTCTATTGGGCAATGCTTATGCATTTCAGAGGTGGCAATTCAATGCGAAGCTCAGGCATGTTTCATTGCAAAGAAACGCGCTACAGTCGGTGCCTCTCACAGCGATTACCCATCCGTAACGTTTCATCATCAGAGAGATGACGAAATTGGCGACCATGACAACACCAAGGCCGCCATGGCCGGGAACCGGAACTTTGGAGCTACCAATGTCCAGTAATATCTTATCAGATAGCCATTTAAAGCCTAGATCTGTAATCAGGACGACAATAGGAAGCGAACGATACACTTCTTGTGTTCATACAGCGAACATTGTTATCCGCGGTTTATTGTCAGGCAGTTTTAAGGCAGATGCTAATCTCGATAATGCAAGGACGGACGATGCAATCAAGGTTCGCGCTACTCTTAAGGTGGTTTCCAGACACATTGGTGCTATCAAGGCGCCGCGGAGGGTCTTTCAAGACTACTTATACCCAAACATACAGACGTTCAAACATCAGACAGCGTGGGAGCGTCCCAAGCTCAGTTCGTCCTTTGCATCAGCTATCTTGCTGCTCTCTCAAGGCTGTCATCCCTGCTCGTTGGCTTCTCTGATGGCTAACACCTCCTCTGCTGCTGCTGCTGGTGGGATCTTGAACAAGCAGGGCTCTGAGCCGGTCACGCCGAGGACGCTTTTCAATGGCAATCAGGGCCCTTTTGTGACAGAGGCCATTAACGCGCTGTCGGCGAAGACGTCAGCACATAAGATCAACGATCTGCCGGGGGAGGAGACAAGCAAGAAGTCATCAGTGGACGTGAATACGGGGGTCAATCTGACATCGGCGAGCGAAGCTCAAGGAAAGGGCAAAGAGGCGGTCAAGGAGGCGGATGAAGAGGAGGGTTACCTCAGTGACGACCCTGACGAGTGTCAGGACCCGGAAGCGGTTTCCCCATCGCATCGCAAGGGGGGTTCGCCATTAAACTGCTTATCCCGTACAAGTGGATCGAGGAAGTCCCGCGTACGACTGACACGGTTCGCGGTCTTCTCCTGCTGTGGGAAGAACATTTGACGGAGAATGCTAAGAGCACGACCAAGTGTCACAAGCTGACGCCGACATGGCTCTCTAAGGAGCGTTTCGGCCGGGTCCATGTGGTTTTTGTGCACGCTGCGGATGCGAACTTCATGTGGAGCAGGAAAGTGGAGCATGTGACAATGACCAATGTGCGTCTGAATCTCGGATGGCAGCACCCGGAGAACCAGGAATACCTGAAGGAGCGGTCGATGAAGCCGGGCGCCATCGAAGTGTTGCTGAGAAATGTTCCGGCTGTCATCACGCCTGAGATGATCCGGAAGAGCCTGGTGACGGCCACCCTGCTGAAGCGCAAGCGTTCGGCGTTCCTGGAGGGTTCGGCTTTTCACAGGGTGGTGGACCCGGTTACGGGCTCAGACACGGATAAGATCAAGGGGTTGGTGTACCGCCACCCCGGGGATAAGTATAAGTGGTGGCACAGGGTGACGGATAAGATTCATGGGACAGATCTGCTAGTCTCGTTTCCCGCACTCACCTGCTCGTTTTGCAACGGCATGCACATGTCGTGTTTCCATGATGAGTATGTGACGGAACGGCATGACAACTTTACGAAGTGGAACCTGCCGCTGGCGCGGGTGCACGAGATGAATGGTAATCATACATTTTCGAGCTGTGCGTTTCAGGTTGAAGCAGATGGCGACTTTGCTCACCTCTGTACCATCTCCCCTCCGAGCAGCGGCCTCTCTGAAGCTGACTGCAGCTACAAAGGCCATTATGGAGGACCCGGCGATGGTTTTCACCTCGACCAGCGGCGCACGGGAGGAGTGGCTATGTGTCCAGGAGGGGTGCGGGAAAGCACACGGCGTCAGCTTCGCGAAGGCAGCAGAGCACGCGGCCTCTGTGTTGCACTGTACCGAACGTCTCCAGGGGGGATCGGCGACACGTCGGAGCAGGGGGAAGATGAACCTCCTGGCGGTCAAGAAGGAGTTCGGGATGTGAGCTCCAGGCGGGAGGGTCCCAGCTCCGAGTCACCCCCTGCAAGCATCGAAACCAGCGCTACAGAGCACGCAGAGCTAGAGAAGGGAGGAGTTTATTGTTTGGCATTAATCTCAGTTGTTTGTACACAGCACAATAAAGCCCGTGGATGCGAGGGGCCCCTGTCATGGTTGATTAATGGATAAGCGCCCACTACTCACCATTTGCGGGGTCAACGTTAACGGCCTCGGTAGCAACGGCAAAAGAACCAAACACCGAGCATGGCTGAAGAGAGCGGCAGATGTGGTTGTGATGTCAGACACGAGGATCAACGAGGATCATAACTTCTGGACAGAGCTGAGACCAAGTGCATGTGCAACGGCGAGTGCAGAGAAGGGTGCAGGAGGAGTGGCGATTGTGGCTTTTCGGAAGCACATCCGTTTCACGGAGGTGATGGCTCACCATACGGGGAGGCTGCTAGGGGTGACGGTGGAAGGAGGAGATACAAAGTTCCGCTTGATAGCGGCTTACCTCCCGGCACAACCGGGCAAGCGGACGAAATTCCATGTAGAGCACCTGGTCCCTTTTGCGCGAGCCCAGCCTGTTGGAGCGCACCTGGTGCTGGTAGGGGACCTCAACATCATTGCGGACCCTGACCTGGACAGGTCATCGAACACGGGTTCCAGTAGGGAAAATCAGCGGTTGCTGGAGGCATGGTCAACCTTTGACCTCCGAGATGCCTTCTGGGCGCTCAATCCTGGGGAGAGACAGTACACGTTCAGAGCAAGGCCATCGGACACCAGATCCAGAATTAACAGGGTGCTGGTGTCAACGTCGTTCCTGGGCCAATTGCTGGAAGCAAGCCACCAGTGGGTGCCGAAGAAGCTGTCAGATCACCAGTTTGCAATCCGGGTCAGCCTCGCTTTCAAGTCATCACATACCAGTGGACCTGGGATTTGGAGGCTGCAGGCAACACGAGTAAATCGGAGGGGAGTCAGAGCGGTAATACAGAAGGTTCTGGGTACTCCAAACGGGCGGAGCGGACGGGCGCTGGAGCAGATTCTCCCACGCCTGAGCGCGGCTTTGCGGACATACGAAAGGGAGGAACGCAAGCAGGTCGCAGCAACGAGACGTCATCTGGAAGCAGAGATCACGAGACTCAACCATCTGGTCATGGCGGGGCCCACGGAAGCAGTGATCAAAGAGAGGTTGCTGACCATGGAGGCACAGCTGGAGGGATACCAGGAGAGCGAGAGGGAAAGGTTACAGGTACTGGCAGGGCTGGATCTGGAAATGCACGGTGAAATCCCGTCCCCGTATCTGTCGGCCAAAGTCAAGATGAGGAAAGACAAAACGATCATCAAGGAAGTGCTGCACATGAGGAAACGTTTTTACGGCTCACAGGAGGTGCTGAAGGCGGCGGCTGATCATTTTCGGGAAGCATTCAAGAAGCATACGGAAGCAGAGGCGAGGAAGGGAGACACAGTAGAGGTGCCCAGGCGGTTACCGGAAGAGGCGGCGGAAAGGCTACGCGCCCCATGGTCGGAGGAGGAGATTAAAGAGGCGCTAGTAGGCTTACCGAGGGGCAAGTCGCCAGGTCAGGACGGCTTACCACCAGAGCTGTTTAAGGCGCACTGGGACCTTCTGGGAGGGCCGCTGGTGGAGTTCGCAAGGAGTTTCGAGAGAACAGGTCTTCTGGACGAGTCGATAACCACGGCGGTGACGGTCCTGCTGCATAAGAAGGGGCCGACGGATCAGTTAGGCAACTACAGACCGATCACGCAGCTGAGCACGATCTATAAAGTACTGGCGAAATTACTGGCAAACAGACTCAAGAAAGAGCTGCACCAGATAATATCCGAGGATCAGCACGGGTTCATACCTGGGAGGTGCCTGGCAGACGCGGTAGCGGTGGTAACTGACGCGGTGGATGCTGCAGACAATGGAGGGGACGACTGGTTCCTCCTCCTGGTGGATTTTCAGAAAGCATACGACACAGTGGCAAGGCCATACCTCTTCAACGGCTGGTTAGGAGAACGGGTGGAGATGCAAAGGGGCGTGCGGCAGGGATGCCCGCTGGCTCCATATCTTCTCCTGTGCGCGCTAGAGCCGCTATGCTGCAAAATCAAAGAGAAGGGACTGAGGGTGAGCGCGGAAGGGGCGGAGGTGCTGTCGTACGTCGGGTACGCTGACGATACAACATTGATCCTGAAGGGAGTGGAACAGCTGAAAGAAGCAGAGATGATTTTGGAGCAGTTCGGGGAGCTGTCAGGCCTGAAGACCAACAAAGATAAATCGGTGGTCATGCCGCTGGGGAGGAACAAGGGGAAAAGGGACGCAGAAGGGGTAAATTTCAAGTGGGCAGAAGATGGCATACCGGAGCGCCTGCTAGGAATATGGATCACGCCAGAAGGAGACCCCGGGCCGTCCTGGGAAAAGGCATGGGAGAGGGGGAAGGCAGAGCTTGTCAAGTGGGAGAGCATGTTAGAATCTAGCAGCAGGAATGTGTGAACTAGTGGCATGCAGGAGTACAAGTAGTAAACCCTAATTGGGCTGTACCCCATATGGGCTACCCCACTACAGCCTAGACAATATGTAGCATATATGTTTGACACACCCCCATAGGCAAAGTGGGGGAGAACAAGGGGTCAAACGACCAGTCAAGAGAAGCAAAGCAAGCTCAGGGTGGATCTCAACGTCACCACACATTCTGAGCACAAGCAAAGGGCCACAAGGCCAGTCCACATGCAGAGATATATATGCAACAATAACAGTACAGTGATGACTACCTAGCAAGAGCAGGCATGCATGTATATATATAGATCACAGTACAAGCAGAGACTACAGCAAGTGTGGAAACGTAGGCACAAGGCCTAACAGGGTACAAAAGCGCTGATGATCACCAGACGGAAGTGCCTTGGTGAATATATCAGCAGTGTTGGCCCGAGTGGCCACGTGACGAAGACGAAGCTGGCCTCGCTGCTGCAACTCTCGAGCCAGGAAGTAACGCAGAGCAATGTGCTTCGTTCTGTGCTCCAGTCTGTGCTCCTCACACAAGGCAATGGCGGCCTTGTTGTCGACGTACAGCACTGGAGGAGAACGAGGCTGCTCTCCCAAGTCAGTCAGCAGGTAGGTGAGCCAGCGTAACTCCTGTGCAGCCATGGCTGTGGCGTAGATCTCAGCCTCACAACTGGAGCTGAGAACTGAAGACGAGCGTGTAGAACGCCACGAAACTGAACCAGAGCCAAGGCTGAAGGTGTAACCCTGCGACGACCGCTGAGTAGCCAGGTCGTCAACCCAAGAAGCGTCTGAGTGCCCAGTGAGGACAACTGGGCTCGTCCCTCCAAGCACTAGCCCCATGCCTGATGTGCTGCACAAGTAGCGCAGTACCCTCTTAGCAGCAGCCATGTGCTCAGGTCGGTGCCGACCAGGAGCCACGTAGCGAGCCAGAAGACCAAGAGGGTACGCGAGGTCAGGTCGAGTGCAAGTCATCAGGTACATGAGGCAGCCGACTAGCTCTGGGTAAGGACCACTCGGCTCTACGGACTCGTCCGAAGGTGGAGCTGAGAGCGAGTGACCTGTAGCCAGAGGAGTGGCCTGTGCTGAAGACCAGGTGAAGCCGAAGCGCTGAAGGACCTGCTGCACCATGTGTGACTGAGTCAGGGTGATGGTGCGCCGTGCTCTGTCCCGGGTGATCTGCAAGCCAAGGTAGCTGCGCAGCTCACCCAAGTCTGTGCACGTGTGTCTCTTCTGCAGCTCCGACTTCACGTGGGCGAGAGCCTCAGTGTCAGAAGTGGCAAAAACCAAGTCGTCGACGTACACGAGGATGTAGAACGGCGGCAGTGAAGTGTCGGTGCGCAGAAACAGCGACGGGTCAGCAGTAGAAGGCGCGAACCCAAGAGCCGCAAGCGTAGTCCTCAGTGTATCGTGCCACTCACGTGGCGCCTGGCGGAGACCGTAGACCGGCCGCCGGAGGCTCCACTGGGTGCCAGGAGGGAACGACCCAGTGAAGCCCGGGGGGCGGCGCAGCCAGATCTCCTCGTGCAGGCTGCCCTGCAAGAAAGCTGTGCTGAAGTCAAAAGAGTGAAGCTCGTAGTCACGGTGAGCAGCAACATGCAGCAGCACCCGAAGAGTGGTCATCTTCGGGGTGGAGGAGAAGGTCTGGAAGAAGTCAACTCCCTCTCGCTGACTGAAGCCTCGAGCTACGTAACGCGCCTTGAAGACAGGCGGAGAACCCGGCGGCCGCTTCACCCTGAAAATCCACATGCCACTGACGATGTTCGCCCCAGGTGGGGGAACCTCGTCAACGTAGGTGCCTGTGGACTTCCAGGAAGCCATCTCTGCGTCCATGGCTGCCTGCCACTGAGAGGAGTAGGGACCCTCTATCGCCTCTGCGTAAGAGCGCGGAGTCGGGATGTCTGGTGCATCCGGGTCTCCCTCAGGGGCAAGTAGCGAGGACACAAGATGAGGTAAAGCAGCAGCAAGACACTGGAACTCCTCCTGCCTGTCCTCAAGGACGTCCATGCTAAGAGCACACTCACCCCCGACGGACGGAGGACAGACAGACTCAGACTCAGCAACAAGACTGGCGGTGTAGTCTAGACGACAGGCAGCAGCAAAGTCAACAAGCTCAGCGACCAAGGCAGACGCAGCAGTAGACTCAAACGACGGGTCAGTGACAATAGTGGCTAGGAGACGCGTGACAGTATGGTGCTCAGTACGAAACCGGTCAGACTCAGGGTCCGGAACGGCAGGCAGAGAGGACGCAGGAGGAGACGGCAGAGGAACAGGCAGCAGAGCAGAGGAAGGACAACGGACTACGAGGTGTGCGCCGGGGACAGCCGGCTGACGCGAACGAGGAACACGACGACCGGTACGACCAGGACGAGCAGGCGAAACAGGACGCGACGCAGGCTCACGACGCTCAGCAGGACTACCAGTCAGCTCAGTGTAAGGAGAAGGAGCAGGCAGCGGTGAGCCAGACTGTAACGGAAGACCAGTAGACGACGGAAGAGTAAGAACCTGACGAAGAACAGAGGCAGACGGCGGCAGAGACGACGGAGACGGCGGAGCGAAGAACAGTCGTGTCGGCGCAGCTGCACCAGTACCAGCAGCTCCAGCAGCTCCAGTGCCTCCAGCAGCTCCAGTACCTCCAGCAGCTCCAGTACCTCCAGCAGCTCCAGAAGCTCCAGGCCCAGAGCCGACACCTCGAGTCCCAGGGTCTCCAACCTCTGTGTCTCCAGCAGCAGCACCCCCAGAACCAGCACCTCCAGTCCCAGGGTCTCCAACCTCAGGGTCGCCAGCAGCAGCACCCCCAGAACCAGCACCTCCAGCTCCAGGGTCTCCAACCTCAGTGTCTCCAGCAGCAGCACCCCCAGAGCCAGCACCTCCAGTCCCAGGGTCTCCAGCCTCAGTGTCTCCAGCACGAGCCCCTCCAGAACCAGCAACTCCAGCACCTCCAGTAGACAAAGGACCAGCACGACTCCGAGCTCCAGCAGCGCGACGCTGACGGCGACCGTACCAGTCCTGCAGCTGCTGTGGGGTGAGAGGCACACGTGGACGAAGGCGGCCACTCCAAGGAGACCGCGCAACAGCAGACTCAGAACCCTCAGCGCCCGCACCCCCAACGGCTCCAGAACCTCCGGTGTCAGTACCCTCAGCACCAGTACCTCCAGCGGCTCCAGAACCTCCAGCGCTAGCACCCTCAGCAGCTCCAGAACCTCCAGCTCCAGCGTCACCAGTACTAGGCCCTCCAGCAGCTCCCGAACCTCCAGCGCCAGCACCCTCAGTAGCTCCAGAACCTCCAGCGTCAGTACCGCCAAGCTCAGCACCCCCAGACCCCTCACACTCAGGCTCAGCACCACCAGGCTCTACACCCTCAAGCTCCGCACCCGCAGGCTCAGTACCCCCAGGCTCAGCACCCCCAGGCTCCGCACCCCTAGGCTCAGCACCCCCAGAAGTAGCACCCCGAGCAGGACCACTCTCAGTAGGACCTGAGTCACCAGTGACCTCAACCGGCGCAGTCAAGGGAGGAGGGTCTACCTGAGAAACACCTGAAGGAGCAGGACCGGGAGCGGGGAGGGGGTCTACCTGGGGAGCACCTGGAGCGAGGAAGAGCGGCGGGGGGGGGGAGCGAGGCAGTGCGGTAGGGGAAGAGACGGTAAAAGGGAACCGACTCGTCGAACGTGACGTCCTGAGACGCAAAGACACGGCGCGAGGTGGGGTGGTAAAACTGCCAACCAGGCGCGTCAGGGACAAAGCCAAGGAAGACACAGGGAACAGCGTGGGCGGAGAGCTTGTCCGCGGTGGTATCGCGGACAAAGGCACGAGCACCCCAGACCCGGAAACGCGACGCATCGCCAACCTTCCCCGTCCACATCAGTGTGGGCGAGGTCTCCGGCAAGGAGACACGGGGCCAGAGGTTGAGCTGATGCGCGGCGTACCGGACCGCAAACGGCCACAGAAAATGGGGGGCAGCCGCATGAACCAGGGAGGTACGAGCGACCTCCATGACTAAGCCAATGCGGCGCTCAGCAACCCCATTCTGCTGCGGAGAGGCCGGAAGCGTGAACGACTGGGTGATGCCGTGCTCCGCACAGTAAGAGGTTGGAGGAGAACTCACCACCTCTGTCAGAGTGCAGACGCAGGATAGGAAAGTCCGACCGGAACCGCTCGCGGAGCTGGAGACGAACTGCGCGGATCCAGGGGATCAAAACAGCAGGGACATCCGCCTTGCTGCACAAGGGGAAGACCGTGGTGTAACGCGTGTAGTCGTCGACAACCAGCAGGAAGTACCGCTCGTGGCCCTGTCCCTGGACGCGGGCTGGGCCCCACACGTCCAGGTGGAGCGTCTGCAGTGGAGCCTCTGTGGGAGGAAACGAGGAGGAGTGAGGAGCGGCGCGCTGCCGCCCCTCGACGCAAGGAATGCAGGGCGGCGCAGGCGAGGGAGGGAGGGCAGGCAGAGACCTGGGGAGACCAGAGACCAGGGAGCGAGAGTGCATGCTACGCAGGCGAGGCAAGGAGGGGTGACCAAGGCGGTGGTGCCACAGGAGAGTGTCGTGCGACAAAGCGCGACACTCGCAGGGGGCCGCCTGCTGACCAGACGTAGACGCAGACGCAGCTACCTGAGGGGACGCAGTGGTCAGTGTGTACAGACTCGAGCCAGGTGCACGGGTGAACGTGGCCAAGTGCCGGCCCGTCCTAGCACACGTACAGTGAGTCACTCGCTGACTCGCAGGAGTGAACTGGTGAACCCCCCCATCCTGGAGGTCAGCTCCACTCACCAAGTTCGTAGAGAACGAGGGGAGGTAAAGACCTGACAGGAAGCCAGACGGGACGGCCGGACACGGCAGAACCGTGGAGTGGTGGGCAATGACTGGACCCCCAGAGGGGTCCGCCAGGGAGACCGGGACTGGCCGACTGAGCGGCGTGAGTGCGGTGCAGTCGCGAAAGAAGGAGCGGGAAGCTCCTGAGTCAAGGGTGAAGGTGTGCGAGACCGCAGTGGGCGCAGTACCAGAGAGAGCAGACTCACCAGCACCTGAAGCCACGGCCTCACCAGTACCTAGAGCAGTAGACGTACTAGCACCGAGAGCAGCAGCCTCACCAGCACCTAGAGCAGGAGACGCACTAGCACCTAGGGCAGCAGCCTCACCAGGGTCAGGCGGTACGCACAGGTAACAGGCACGGTCAGCACTAGTAGACAAGGCATACATGGCAGTGAGAATAGCATCATAGTCAAGCGCAAAGATATCTACCCTCTGTCCATGCAGCTCCAGCCAGGTGGGGAGCTCAGCCTCGTCGCCAAACACTGTGCGCCAGTCGTCGCTCAGACGGGCGAAGCAGCGGGACTGTGTGTGACCAAGCGTCCCACAAGGCTGACCAGTCCTAGCACCTGTGCGAATGACGTACGGGCAGCGAACTGTACGGGTAGACCTGCTACACTGAGCGTACCACTCCTGGAGCTGCCGAGGCGTAAGTGGCTCGCGTGGACGCCCCTGCAGCTGCAGCTGGCCACTGCTAGACGCTCCCAACTGACCAGCCCCAGGGCGACAGCTACGACGGCTACCGCGACAACCCCAGCTAGTATACCACTCACTAAGCTGCTGGGGCGTGAGAGGCTCGCGTGAACGTCGCTGGAGCTGCATCTGGCCACCTGCCAGTAGCAGTAGCAGCAGCAGCAGCGCGGGCAGGGCAGGCGTGGCAGGCAGGTAGGCAAGCAGGCAGGCAGGCAGGCAGGCAGGAAGGCAGGCAGGCAGACAGGCAGGCAGGCAGGCAGACAGACAGGCAGGCCGGCAGGCAGGCAGTCAGGCCGGTAGGCAGGCAGGCAGGCGCGCAGGCAGGCAGGCAGGCAGGCAGGCCGGCAGGCAGGCAGGCAGCCAGGCAGGCAGGCAGGCAGGCAGACAGGCAGGCCGTCAGGCAGGCAGGCAGTCGCTCACCAAAGGCTGGGAGAGCAGGCGCTCACCGGGCGAGCAGGGCCGGCGCTCGACAGCGGCGACGTCGGGGCCGCAACACCGGCTGCAGAGTAGGGCCGAAGCAGCTGCAGGGCGGGGCCGCTTCAGCGGCAGGTCGGGGCCGTGGCAGCTGCAGGGCGGGGCCGCATCAGCGGCAGGTCGGGGCCGTGGCAGCTGCAGGGCGGGGCCGCATCAGCGGCAGGTCGGGGCCGTGGCAGCTGCAGGGCGGGGCCGCATCAGCGGCAGGTCGGGGCCGAGGCAGAGGGCCGCGCGCGGCTCGGCGCGGGCTGCGCTGACAGCGCGCTAAGCTGATGCAGGCCGCGCGCGGCCGCGCTAGGCAGTAGCGGGCCGCGCGCGGCTCGGCGCGGGCTGTTGCGGGCCGCGCGCGGGCCGTGCGAGGCAGTAGCAGGCCGCGCGCGGGCCTCGCGAGGCCGTAGCAGGCCGCGCGCGGCTCGACGCGGGCTGCGTGGGCTCGGCGCGGGCTGCGCGCGGCAGCTGCGAGCTGCGCGCGGCTCGGTGCGGGCTGCGCGCGGCTGCAGCGGGCTGCGCGCGGGTCGGTGCGGGCTGCGCGCGGCTGCAGCGGGCTGCGCGCGGCTCGGTGCGGGCTGCGCGCGGCTGCAGCGGGCTGCGCGCGACTCGGTGCGGGCAGCGCGCGGCAGCAGTGTGCTTAACGGTCTGCAGGGGCTGTGTGCGGGCCTGACGGGCGTGTAGAGGCGGCGCGCGGGCCTTACGGGCCTCTAGGGGCAGCGCGCTGGCCTAGGGCAGCAGGAGGCAGCGCATGTGCAGCACGTCACAAGGCAAGGCAAGGCAGGCAGGTACGTGGGGTAGCGCGGTAACCGCAGCGGTAGGTGGGCCCGAAAAAAACGGTCCTACGGACCTTAGTGCTCTGAAACCATGTTAGAATCTAGCAGCAGGAATGTGTGAACTAGTGGCATGCAGGAGTACAAGTAGTAAACCCTAATTGGGCTGTACCCCATATGGGCTACCCCACTACAGCCTAGACAATATGTAGCATATATGTTTGACAGAGCCATCATCTGCTAACAGCCGCGCGTGTGACGGTAATCAACGCTTACATCATGCCGATTTTCGTATTCCAAGCGCAAATCTACCCGCCGCCGGAGGAGCTATGGAAGCGCATCCAAAAGACGTGCGACAACTACGTCTCCAGCGGACAGGCCACGTCGGAGAAGCTGTTCGTGCTATGGAGCGGAGAACTTGCGCGCCTGCCAAAAAAGGATGGGGGGCTGGGACTGGTAGACCCCAAGGCGAGGATTGACAGTATGGCAATCAGAATGGTAGAGAAGTTGGTCTCGGAGCAGAATGCTACGAAACGATGGCTAGCGGAGAAGGCAGCAGCGATGCCCCAAGGGGCAGCGACGCTCCTGGCGGACCCGTCTGCATCGAAGCACTGGAATGGCGGAAGCAAACGTTGGAAAGCGGCGGTGGAGGCCTTCTGGGAGTCCCCGTATGCGGTGCTACCGGAGCCGAAAACTGGCTGGGAGGTGGAGCAGGAGAAAGTGTGTTTCAACCGCAAGATCATGTTCAGAGGGAAAAGCCCGTATGGGAACCAGCAAGGAACCGAGGGGATAAGACAGATAAATTTCGGGGACCTGGTGGAGGTAGGGCCGGGGGGAGAGCGCACGGTAAAGAGCAAGGAGAGCTTGAGACTGGAGCTGGGTGGAGTGGCTGCAGCCAGATGGGCGCTTATGGCTTATGCCGCGATGTCAAAAGAGTGGAAGACAATGATTACGGCGAGCAGGCCGGCAGGGATGGTAGCATCAACGGCGGAGGTAGTAAGAACGCACCTTCCGCAGACGAACGAGCACCTCTATTGGAAGGTGAAGGGAGTTCAAGACAGCGAGCACGTAGCGCTATCAAGCCTGCGGTGCGCAGAAGGCGGGAGGCTGGAAGAACGAGCAAGGCCGATCAGCGCGGTTTTCAGGGCCTGGAAAGTGGAACCGGTTGTCGTCAGGGGAGGGAGAGTGCTGGGAGCGCTGGGGGCGCCGAAGACGAGGCTACGGCAGTCGGACTTACTAAACGATGAGGGACAGGCCGCCAGAGTGAAGGATATCCGGCGGAAGCTGATAGGCTGCACGACGGCATCGAAAAAGAGGAGCGAGTGGGAGGAGAGATGGGGGAAGAAGATTGACTGGAAAAAGGTGGAAAGCAGAAGGGACTCTCTGGTGGTGCCCATCAGAGCACGGGACGTCCTGCTGAGAATACACAACTTGAACCTGCAGGTGGGGGGCAGATTGAAGTTCCTGGGGGAAAGGGCGCGATGCTCGCACTGCGGGGAGTATGAAACCCTAGAACATTGTGTTTTCAGCTGCCCGCTGGTCCAGCCAGTTATCGGTGCGCTGCTTCGGTCGCTGCAGATGATGGGGCGGACGAACGACCCGAGGTCGTTAGGCGACCTGCTTTTCGAGGAAGGGAACACGAAGTCAGGTTTCCCAGCAGCAACGCTGGTGGCAACAACCTTCAGGCAGATATGGTTGGCAAGATGCAACATGGTCTGGAGAGGAGAAAATTTCCAGAGGAAAAGGGTGGCAAGGGGAGCGATCCGAGATTTCGTGCTGCATGCCCAAGTGTACCGCATGGAGCAGACACGTAGGGCGAGAAGGAACGGCACAGCGAAGCAGGGGGGAGACCCGTGGCGGGATCTCAAAGATGACGAAAGGGCAGCGGTGGCCTTGCTCAGCGGGCCAGGAGATAAGGCCACGTGGAGCAACGGGTTTCTCTCCATCTGGCGCAATCCTAGGACGATCAGGCAGCCTCCCTAGATGCCCCTCGGAGGGGAGCCCCGGCTACAAGAGTAAGCTAGGGATTTTTCTCTCCAGTATATCAGTCACGACTGAGAATGTATGCACTTCTGTAGTGTAACAACATTCACCAAAAAAAAAAAAAAAATCCGTAGCGTTTCGGTTTGAAATCAATCATTCTTTTGTCAAAGCTTGCACAATTCCAGATTCTACCTGGCATGCCATAACTGAAGTATAAAAGAAGAAAAACATAGAAAGGCAGATCCTAGATTATTTTTTCCAGAGAAGGTGAGGTAACAAAGTTCAGGATAGAAAGAATGGGGACAAGGACGGAATGGAACAAGGCCAGAAGGATGTGAGTGGAGAAAAGCTGAGGTGGTGAGCCAGTAAACAAGCCAACCCACCGTATCCCCTGCAGAGCCTCAGCTTAACTAGTTACCTCGGCATCCGATTGCCAGCTGGTGGGTTGTGTGAGAATTTGGAGCCTTATGCATTCTTCCTGCTATGGCTCCTCTGGCTCTACTAGCAGGTACATGGAGATGACATGACGGCACCAGATCTCCCAGTGATTGGGGCATGACATGCAAGCATTGGCATCTCCCACTTCCCACCCACACTCTTTCCCCCATCCCATCGCCCACTCTCCCCTTGCCAGAAGCTCCTAGAGGCATCCTGCGGCAGTAAATCAACCCTCCCACCTACAGACATATCCGTTCCCCCTTTCCAACCTGCTGACCATGATAAAGCCAGCTGTCCACCTGCTCAGCCCTTTTTTCTCCCCATACGAACTCCCAGCCATGATCTGCCACATGCTCCTCTGTCCTGCTGTCCGCTGCTGCCCTGCCCCACCCCATGGAGCTTCCTATGCACCCTCCCCCGCACCTCCAATGCACCTCCCATGCATCTCGTGCCATCAATGCTTCCTCACTTTCAGAATCTCACAGCCTCACAAACACCTCTGCTACTCCATATCCGCGCACGCTATTCAAAGGCCATGCTGCAACCCACTGCCTCCACCCACCTTCCATTCACGTACCCAGCATCCCACCACACACCCCTCCCCAACAAGCTTCAAAGCGCCGCCTCGAACCAGCTTCAAGCTCCCCATCCTGCTCTTTCTCTCGCACGTGCGTATCCCACCCGCCCACTCCTCAAAACAGCTGGAACCCAAACACCTCCCCAAGCAAAATCACCGCTCCGAACGCGATAGCCATGAGCGCAGCGACCCACGAGAGGCCCTTGGTGAACCCAGGAACGCGCTCCTTGAGCGCACTGCTGCACGACCCGATGAACGCCGTGTAGCTGCCCATCGCCAGCACCGTTCCCAGCAGGAACAGCACCAGGAACGCCGCCCCCGCCGCTCTCGACGGCATGGCCAGCGCGGGGAGAACGACGAGTAGCGCGTCCGGCTGCAGGCCGTGCACCACGCCCGTCACGAACGTCGCGATTCCAAAGTGCGCTTTCGGCCCTGCGAGCGACGCGCTCCCTCCCGCGCCAGCCACCCCGCCTGCCGCCGCGAGCGCGGCCTCCCCCTCCCCCTCCCCACGCGCGACGGCCGCGAGCTCCTCCTCAGTCGCGTGCTGCGCCTCGTAGATCCCCAGCGCGCCGATCGCGAGCAGCGTCGCGCCGACGATGCGCGAGCCCCACACGCGGAGAAGGTCCAGGTGGAGCTTATCCTTTAGCAGCAGGAAGAGCACTCCGAACATCACCTGCCCCGCGTCGTGCCCGCACCCCCACAGCGCGCCGATCACCGCGGACTGCACGCGGCTGCGCCCGATGGTGAGCGGCGCGAGCGCCGCCAGGTGGTCCGGACCCGTGAGCGTGTGCAGGCACCCCGCGACGAGCCCCGTCCACCCCGCGCGGACTATCTCCGACCAGTGCCCCGCTGCTATCGCCGCGGCTGATGCGCCGGTAGCAGTGGTGGCGGCGCCGGCGAAGTTGGTGGCGGGTGCGGCGGTGAAGGCGAGGGAGGGAGGCGGGCGGACGCAGAAGAGGGCTGTTGCTGCTGCTGCTGCTGCACACGCGAGAGCGAACTTGACCTGATGGGAGTGCGGAGGGAGGCGGTGGGGAAAAGTGGGAAAGGGCGGGGGAGGAGGGGGAGGAGGGAGAGTGGAGCGGGAGTATGAAAGAAAGTTAGGAGGGTGAGCAGGAAGCGGAATGGCGTACATTCGAGCTCACGAAGCCGTGATAATAGCATGCGAGCAACCGACACACTGCCCACGCAACCGTGATGCATGCGTGGACAGTGGGGCAGGAAGAGCGTACACGCCCACACGCCAAAAGAATCATGGAAGGAGAGGCGAGGTGAAGCGAGGCGCATGAGAGGAGAAGCGCATGAGACTGAAACGCACGAGTGCAACTACGGGAACATGCCAATCTGCAAAGAAGCGACCTCGAAAGCGAAGCGAAGGAATCAATTCCTGCTCTTAAGAGTCGTGCGGTGGTCAACCTTAGGAACAGAGATTTGGCGCTCGGCGTCCAGAAGCCGGTTCCTAACCTTATTTGGTGCGGGTGCGTGGAATGCGTATCTGCACGATTGAGTTGCGTGCTAGTTTTTCTTAGCTATTAACGGGTTATGCGTTTCATTTCAGCAAGCCACGGTATCGCCAGTCAAGAAGAAGCATGCGAGGGGAAAGTGCAAACGAAGAGCTGATGGCAATGCAGACTAGAGGACACGTGGCATGGTCACGCAGATTAGGGGAATTGATCAGGCAAGCACGGACAGATCATGACAGAAGTGAGTGGGAATGGAGATTAAAACACTCTGAATGACGGAAGAAGAGAACAGAGGGAAAGGGAGAGTGAGCGGACGGGGAGGGAGAGGGGGGGAAAGCTAGATGAGAGAGGGGGGAAGACGGTGTACACAAATGAGCTAAAGAGCGCACAGCGATCAGCGATCGGACGGGGTTAAAAGGTGCAGTGAGGCAGAAAACGTACTCGTTTGAAGTCGGCGCAGTAGAGCTGCGCTGCGGCAACGGCTTCCCTCGCCACGCGTTGAATGGCCTCCAGCGGCACGCGCTGGGGTTGCCTGCACGCGCGGGTGGAGAGAACGGGGAAAGGGGAGAAAAGGGGAGACGGGGGAAGGCGAGGTAGGGAGGAAAGTGAGAAGGTGAGGGAATGAAAGTCTTCAAGGAGCAAACATAAACGTTGGCGCAGAGGAGGGATGAGATTTGCAGGCTGGCAGACATGGTTTTGACGGACGGAGAGAAGGGCGCTCAGGTGTAAAGCTCAATTGCCAAGAGGCAATCCAACCTAAGCAGGTGAGTGCAATTGTGGTTCGTTGCTTGCGCGAATCAGCTTGTGAGTCAACTTTGGATTAGTTTGTGAAGGTCATGTACGGACAGAAGACCAAAAATCAGTGAGTGATTAAGAGGGTTTTGACCTGAATTGGACAACTAAAAATACCCGAAGATTTATCCATCAGGCAATCAGGATCAGGGTTTAAGGGCACCAACCTCCAATCACTTCCCTACCCCTTCCTCCCCCCCTTCCCCCCCTCCCCTCACCTCTTCCCCCACCCTCCCCCCCTCCAACGAAGAACTAAACAATTTGGAGCGCTCGGCCTCTACGCACCTTAACGAGACCCGGACGGCCTGCTTCGTCTCAGGCTGTCGTTCATGATCCGCTGGTTGAGAATCATGCGCTTCACTCGCCGCTGCTCTCACTCGAGAGGCCGCACGTTGCGATGGAGATGCCGATGCGTGCCCTCCCACCCGTGAACTCTTCGAGGCAGCTGCATTTGCTGCTGATGGCCATGAGCAGTGAAGGAACGGCGATCGCAGAGAGAGAGACGCGACGGGCCGAGCAGACGAGGCGGCCAAGGGCCTCGATGAAAGAGGGGAGCTGGCTTCGCTCAGAGCGGACGACGATCGCAGCGCTAGCGATCCATGCACTGTGAGTGTCGCCATGGATCGGCTACTTTAGAAGGGGAATTGAAGTGGGTCGAGTTAGGGACCTTGGGAGGGTCACGTCGTGGCGTGATGTTTATTCACACCGCGAACCGTCACTTCGTGTGACGAAAGCGGTGGTATCCGAGGCAGCTCTCAGCTGCCAGCATAAGGAGCTAACTCCAGTCTAGTAGCAGAAAAAACTCACTTCTGATTACCTCACCGTCACGTACGGACCAGTTCCGTATTGTGCTTTCCAGTGTACAGCAGTGGTGGATCATGCATGTTCACTAGGAGCAGTGAACCAGCGGCAGCAGTAGATGAGGGAGGTGCGAGCAGGTAGGCACTGACGTGTACGGAGCCGATCAGCCGATAGGATGACGTGGAGCGGGGTCGGGAATCTGGTCTTACGAAAAGGCGGGGGAAATGTACTCTAGCCGCGCATGGAATGGCTGCTTGAAGTTTTGGATTGAGGCTGGGCGCACGGGAAACACTGCAGCGGAGGTGGCCCTTGCGACCTCACGCTGAGGGATTGGGTTAGGTTGTGTTGGGTTCCCCGAACAGAAAACGCGCGCGCGGGCCAAGAGGAGGAATGGAGCTGGCGGAAAGGTCACTCTTAGTCGTGATGAACACGTGGCCCAGTCAGCGTCGACATTGACGCGTGGATTGCTGTTGGCTGGACGAAGCGGATGTGCAGAGATAATGCGCTCAGATTCTGCGTGCCACGTGGCTTTATAGTTCCCTAGCTTCCCCCAACAAAGCAGACCATCATGTACAAGTGTACTTGGGCAGCACTTTCAAATCCTTATCCTAAATCAACCAAATCAGTCATTAATTTACAAGAAGGGTGATTCTTTCATAGTTTCAAGTGGAGGTTTTCAGGGAGTGGGCAAGCTGCTTGAAGAAATATTTTGAGCATTTTTTACCACCTTGTACTTGGGGGCATGACCCTGGTCGGTGCAGAGATGGAGGTGATATCCAAAACTCTGAATCAGATTTTATATAACAACGCTTATTTTTAGAGCAACCATATATTACGTCCTTCGTGCCCTTAGTGATAACACGTAATGCATGGCATATATTTATATCGCTTTCGAGCTAATGTGTGGTGATGTCTACGATGTCCGCACGTCCACTGCTCGTGATCGCGCTTCCTATATCTGACCGTTCATCGAATATCCGAATCACACGCGATTCGGTTGGAGTCTGAGGAGATGGTGAAGGTGGACCCGACTCAAGTCATGCCTCGCTCAGTACCTCTCTGTCCGCTACCTGCCTTTTCCACCCGCGGCACCAGCATTCCTGGTCTATCCATGGTTTTCATTCCTAATTGAAGCAGCTTTTCGAAGTACTAGCCATCCTAGCATCTTTTTAGCGTGACGAACTTCAGTACTCTACGTAGACGCATACATATGCGAACAAACCTAGTTGTTTGACGTTTCCCTTGCCAGCGTTGTGAGAGCCTTTTTCACAATCTTCCGTAGTGAAGTTGTTTCCTTCTTTGTATTCGGAGTTGCTGTGCGTAAATTTCCAGCACTCGACCCTGTCGAACAATGTCGACGGCAGCGCGGAACGTGGAGGTGAGGCTGGTGAACGGAATGGTGCTGACGGTGAAGATGGATGAGACGGCGGGCGGCGTGGGCGAGCGCGTGGTGGCGTTGGAGGAGAAGCTGAAGGTGCAGGGCGACGCCATGGCTGCCATGCAGCGCGACATGGCGGAAATGCGCCGCGCCATGGCCCTCCTCAAGGGTATGGCGGCGACGGGCGCTTCGGCGGAGAGGAGTGAGGTGGAAGGGGCGGGAAAAGGGAGTGCGTCGGGAGAGGCAGCGGAGGACGTTGCCGCGCAGCTGCTGAAAGGCGCCCAGGAAAAGGAAGTGGAGGAGCTGAAGGTTCTGGCGGGAGCGGCTATGTGGAAGGCGCAGGACGTGGCGGCTGAGATGGGCCCGGTAAAGGCGGAGATGGTTCGGCGTGGCCAGCTGGTTCGGAACGGAATTGAAAGGAACATGCACAGCGCAGGACACGTCCAAGGCAGCGAGCAACAACATTCCGATAGCGACCACAGAGAGTACAGTCAACTTTCACCTGCTTCCATGGCGAAGTATTTTGGTGAAACCTAGGTGAAACCCTGAGTGCTCAAGTTTGTGGTTGCTCTGCTCCAACGTAAACGGTTTGTAGCATACAGGGAGGCAGTAATTTACTGTGACGAGCATCATAGCATTGACAGCGAGATGGCGACGGCAACGGCACCGCGGGACATGGAGCTGCGGCTGGTGAACGGCATGGTGCTGAAGGTGCAGCTGGCGGAGATGGCGGGCAGCGTCGGGGAGCGCGTGGCGGCGTTGGAGGCGAAGCTGAGGGAGCAGGGCGACGCCATGGCTTCCATGCAGCGCGACTTGGCGGAAATGCGCCGCGCCATGGCCCTCCTCAAGGGCGTGGCGGCGACGGGCGGTTTGGGGGAGAAAAGAGAGGGGGAAGGGGCGGGAAACGGGAGCGCGTCAAGGGAGGCAGCGGAGGGCATTGGCGCACGGCCACTGAAAGGCGCGCGGGAGAACATTTTTGCTGCGATTGAAGCGGAAGAGTTGAAGGCGCAGGTGGAAACGGCGAGAGCGGAGGCGCGGGACGCGGCGAGTGAGATGCGCGGGGAGGTGGGCGCGATGAAGGCGGAGCTTGCGCGGATGAGGGCAGCGGCGGAGCGGCAAGCGGCGGAGGTGGCGTACGTGAAGGCGACGGCGGCGCACTCGGAGGCGCGCATCAACGACGCCGAGCTGGCGCTCGCCGCCATCAAGGACGAGCGCAAGGCGGAGAAGAGCCGCGCCGAGCGCAACGAGGGCAGCGCGCGGGAGGATGTGGGTGAGGAGAGGCGCGAGGGGAAGAGGCGGAAGAGGGAGGAGGCGGGCCAAAATGAAGTAGGGGTCGTCGCGGACGCGGGGGGTGCTCTGATTGCCATCAGTGGTGCGCATGTGGAAAAGAAGGATGAGGCGGAAAGGAACGGCGGAGCTGAGGGGGGAGAGATCGTTGCAGCGTGCGACACAAAGGCAGAGCTGCAGGGACTGAGGGCGCGAGTGAAAGCGCTGGAGGAAATGAGCGCTGTAGGAGGCAAGACGTGGGAGGTGATTCTTCGAATTATTGCTGTTGTTGCTCGTTTTTCATTGTTATTTGTTTTTCTACCGTGTTCTGAACGTTTTTATTTGTGCCGGAATTGGCCCCACTAAAAGCTCCTACAGTGTGTGTGTGGCACGCCTGCGTGTATGCGTAACGCAATCGTTGCAAAAAAACTTAAACACAGCCACGGCTCTCTGTATCTCGCGCTCATGCCAGTCCCTCTCCCTGTTTGACCTTACTCCCGTGCCCTCTCCCTGTTCGTGGCTGCAGGTTCTGATGATGCTGTGGAGAGAAGCGGTTCCCAGCGAGACTTTTGTGAAGCTCCAAGGCGTTCCATGCCTCACGGATTCTGCTCTCACAGAACTCGCCAGCTTCCATTCTCTAACCTCGTTGAACCTCACACAATGCGACTGCTTCACTGCAGCGGGGGTGAAGGGACTGTTTTCTCTCACCGGCCTCACATATCTGAATCTAAGCTACACAGCCACGACTGATGGTGCTCTTGATGGCATTGACGGCCTGAAAAATCTTGAACACCTTTTTCTTGAGAACACCGATATAACAGATGCGGGAATAGCAAAGTTGCAGGGGATGACAGCACTCAGGGCATTGTTCATACCTGACTGTGCGTCAGTCACCTCTGCCAGCATGGTGCATGTGGCGAAACTGATAGCTCTGGAAGTCCTGGCACTACCGGCACTACAGCGTTTGACTGCTCTCACCTCACTGACGTTTCTTGCCTTGCCTCCAGCAGTGACTGATTCCGGCATGAAGTACCTGAGGAATATGAAACACCTGGAGACGCTGGGGCTGTGGGATGCTAGCATCACTGCAGCTGGTGTCAAGTGGCTCAAGGGGCTGAAGTGGCTGCAGAAGATCACAACAGATGATGAAGATGTTCAAGAACTGGTCAGGGACATATTTCCTGGAATGATTGTGACACCTGGCCCTCTCTGATGCCGTCAATCCTACTACGTATGTGCCATGCCTAGGTTGGGATTTCAAAGAGGGAGTGGAGGAAATTCTGCAAAATCTGTTAAACATCATCTGAAAGGCAACATAGCAGGAACTGGAAACAAGTCCGTACGAGCAAATACAACACCAGAAGAAACCACTCCTCACATTGCAATCCAAAAACAACTCTCCACATAACGGTATGTGTTTCACTGACTCCATACACATACCCACACATTCCTTCTCTCCCAAATTGCCGCTACACATTTCCATTACAAAACTGTCCCCTTCACCTTCAAGTGCTGAATACTACACCCTCTTTCCAACTCCTTTTAACTGGCAGGCGGTCTAGAAAGGGGTTTGGCCAACGAAGTTACCCGGGGGCGAGTAGTCACAGACCCACATGCCGGCACCATCAGGGCACTGAGCAGAGCCGCAGCCGACATGAGTGGTATCCCGCCACACCACCTGCGTGTAGTGCCCACACATCTTGCCCTCCACACACCCCTCTGGAATAGGGCTTGGGGTCCAGTCCGCCTTCTCCTCCACCCATGACTTCACCGCCCCACGGTCCTCCTGCGGGGTGAGATTTGCGGGTGACATCCAGTAGAGGTTCTGCCCGAGCCCGTCTGCTCCGCCGTGCTCCAGAGGGCACCCTTTGGCGGCCAGCTTGTTCGCCCAGTCCTGTGCCGTTGCTGCCACGTTGTCGTCCCATGCGAGGTCCGGCACACCCACTGCCTGCCGTGCCTTGTTGTGCTCCTCGAGAATCCCTGCAATGTCAATGCTGCCGCCGCCGCCACCTCTGTTACCGCCGTCAGCACCATTGTTGCCACCCTCAGCACCACCATTGCTGCCGTCAGTACCACCGAGGTCGATGCTGTCACCGCCCCCGCCACCGTTCCCACCATCCCCAGCACCGTTCCCACCATCCCCAGCACCGTTCCCACCATCCCCAGCACCGTTCCCACCATCCCCAGCACCGTTCCCACCATCCCCAGCACCGTTCCCACCATCCCCAGCACCGTTCCCACCATCCCCAGCACCGTTTCCACCATCACCACCATCAGGGCAGCCATCTCCATTATAGTCACCACCATTGTAATCACCACCGTTGTCACCACCATTGTAATCACCACCGTTGTCACCTCCATTGTAATCACCGCCGTTGTCACCTCCATTGTAATCACCGCCGTTGTCACCTCCATTGTAATCACCGCCGTTGTCACCTCCATTGTAATCACTGCCGTTGTCACCTCCATTGTAATCACCGCCGTTGTCACCTCCATTGTAATCACCGCCGTTGTCACCTCCATTGTAATCACCGCCGTTGTCACCTCCATTGTAATCACCGCCGTTGTCACCTCCATTGTAATCACCGCCGTTGTCACCTCCATTGTAATCACCGCCGTTGTCACCTCCATTGTAATCACCGCCGTTGTCACCTCCATTGTAATCACCGCCGTTGTCACCACCGCTGTAATCACCGCCGTTGTAATCACCACCGTTGTCACCACCATTGTAGTCACCACCATTATCACCACCGTTGTAATCACCACCACTGTAATCACCACCACCATAATCACCAGCTGCGTTAGTGTGCGCATTTTCCGTCCTCATAATCCCACGATTTACACCATCATCACGCTGATAGGTGCCGAGGTTATTAGCGCCCTGCGCTTCATTTCTGTTGCTGCCACCATTCCTGCTGTGGAGGGCCACGTCAGAAGCTCCTACCTTGCGGAATTCCCCGCGCCTGTTGCTGTTCAAGGACAGGCTGACCTCGCCAGTCCCCCGTTACTATAAGTTCCACCGCCGCTGCTGCGCTGGTACAGCCGCTCCACTGGCTCACCACTGCTGCGCTCGTCCCGCGTGCGGCGCTCGTGGCTGGAGCGGTGATGGATCGCCACGTCGTCGCTGCTGGCTGCGCGGAATGCGCCGTTCATGGCGATTGTTCTGCCGTTCCCTTCATGGCGGCGGGATCCACCGCCTCGACGCTGATTCGCTGCTGCTTGGAGCTTGACGTTCCCAGGTCCGTGAGGGCCGTGCTTCACGGCGTTAAGTGCGGCTTGGGGAGCGCCGTGAGGGGTTTCTGCGTAATGGACGGCGTGAGCGGCGGCGTGAGAGGTGGCCGCCCAACTAGGAGTTGCGTGCGAACCAGCAGCGGCGCCTCTGGCAGAATAAACGAGGGGCTCCGACACCCTCTGTGCGACCGTCGCACGAGGCGCGCTGTGGCTGTTCGTAGATGCCGCCGCGGCACTCCATGAGACAGCATCGTCGCGGACAAGAGCACGTCGCCAGGGATGGGCTGCAGTGCAAGAGCCGATGACGAGAAAGAGAATGAGAGGAGCCGCCACAAGCTGTGGTTTCGTCAGGGTCCCCATCGAGCCGCAAAGGATTCAAATTGAACTAGTGTGGGGGGTTAACACGCTGCAAACGAATACAGAGGGCGATGGTACTACTATCGGGTCTGGTACTAAAGCAACAAGAGCTTACAAAGATAGGGACATTTGCGGGTTGCTGGAGGGCTGGAGGTAGCTGGTTTGTGCTTCCGAAACAAAGCCTGGCTGCTCAATTTCTGCTCGAAACTCTGGTCCGACATGCGGCTCGTGCAGAGGGTTCTTTCGCGTGATGGCGACGGGTTACCGTGGCGCGTGGCGTGGTGTGGTGTGGAGGGGTGGGGGGGAGATAGAGCGTTCGAGAATGAAAATTCCTTCGAAGTCAATGCCAGGAGAGGTATTTCGTGCCACTGGTCTGCTTCAAACCAGGAATCACGAAGGTGACAAGGTTTCGGACCAGCCAGGATGTTACGAGATATGACACAGAATGTTACGAGTTGTAAATGAAGAGTATGGTGTTATGAAATGTTGAAAGAAACCGCACGGAATAATGAATAACACAATTGTGCCAATATGGACTGGAGATACAATGTACAAGAATAATAAGATAATCTTTGGACATTATAATTTTCCTGGTAAATTCAGTGGAAGACTTTATAGGTTAAGTGTCATAATCTGATATGGGACTTAGGGTGCATTCCTGCCTTGACACTTGTGTCTCAATCCCCTGTTTTCCCGAGCCGCGCCGAAACATTTTGGGGATCTCACGTCACAAAAAATCAATGTACCGCGAAACTAGGCGACCATGCGAAATGCACAGTTAGGCTCAATTGATTGGGTGACAAAAATTACTGTACATCCGATTCTTCAATCGCGCGGCTAGGGTGTGGTTTCGACACGCGGGATTCTTTCCCGCGCGAAATTGGCATTTCGGGAAGACCAGGTGCATTGACATTTTGAAACGCATGCGATTTTAAAAAAATTACGAGTCGGATTTCAATTTGCCAGCGACGTCAGCGCGTTTCACGCTGACCAATGAAAAATACAGTTGTAGTCGCTGAAAGGCGACTCGCATTTGGGGCACACTACAGTTCATGCCGTTTTTGGGTCTCACAAAGCGATTGAGACATTTGTGTCAAGGCAGGTATGTACCCTTAACGAAGGATCGCTCAGGGTTGATCGCAGGTAGTGTTGCAGCGGAAGTGTTGAACTCAGGTCAGAGTGAATGTAAATGACTGAGATGATATAGCATGCATACATATGGTTTATATAGGAAATACAAAGAAATGCGAAACGACCTAGGCTAGCCATGCACTCTAAGGGGTACATTCCCTTATTGCAGCGAAATTCAAACCGTGCGGCGCGGGAACCAGTTTCAAACCTGTTCCCGCTCTTTTCACTTCAAATGTTTCTGCCTGCATCGGTCTTGGTGTCGCCAGACGGTTGCTGCGTCGCTTCGACTCTTCTGGCTCCTCGTCTTCGTACGGCTCCTGCAGCATACAGGAATGCCTTCTCATAAAACTTCATATCGTAACATTAACCTTGATGTCAAATGTTGTAGCCTGTAGTGAGGTTTGTCTTAGGGGGTACAAAAGTTAGGGTTTGTTATATGTACCCCAAACCAACATCAATGCATCATTCATTCCTCAGTTTGACATGGTATCACCTAGGTTCGGATCCTGTGGGATCCCGCTCCTCCCGACCTCGTTCGTATCGCCCGAGCCTGTCTCCCTCTCTCGTACTAGTTGCGCACGTTTTGCCTGAGCCTAGCGCCGGCCCGCTCTAGTTGCGTTCCTTCGTTACCGACCGTTCTGCCGATCCACTGCTCTCGTAGCGTAGCGACCCCCCCCCCCCCCCCCCCCCCCCCCCCCCCTCCTTGCTGCCCGTCGCGTTTTTTCCCCCGCTGCGCGTTTTCCCCCCCGCTGCCTGTCGAGTCGCGTTTTCCCCCCACTGCCCGTCAAATCGCGCCTTCCTCTGCCCCCGTCGCGTCGCGCTCTCCCCGCCCGTCGTCCCGTCGCCCGTCCCCCCCTACGCGCGCCGCCGCTGCGCCTCCTCCCGTCGCCCGCCGCCGCGCCCGCAGCCTGCGCACGTCGCCGCTGCGCCCGCTCCCGTCCCCCGTCGCTGCGCCCGCAGCCTGCGCCCGCCGCAGCTGCCCGCCCCCGCGCACGTCGCCGCTGCGCCCGCTCCCGTTGCCCGCCGCTGCGCGCGCTGCCGTCGGCCACCGCGCGCGCTGCCGGCCCCCCTTGTCGCGTCCGCCGTAGCATCCGCTCCCCCCACCAATAGCCGCTGCTAGTCTCCCCTGCTGCCGCGCCTTTCCTTCACCAGGGCTAAACCCTAGTTGCCATCTGCCTCCGCTTTTCCGTCAGTTTCAGCTATGGCGACTCCGCGTGTTCTTCGTTTCGACGCTAAAGGTAGACCCCTTGACTTTTCACTCTGGCTTATGCGCGCTCGCCGTCAGTTAGAGAGCCAGGTCCAGTCAGGCGAGACTCTCTGAGCGCATGCTACTGGTGCCCTCCCTGCGCCCCCCGAACCTACGCCTTTAGGCCCTGCCCCTGATGACGTCGCTAGAGCCCACTTTGCTAGCCAGCGCGCTGACCTGACAGCTTGGACGTCGCGTGACGCTGCGGCCTGCATCGCGCTCAGCACCCTCCTCCCTGAGTCTGAGGAGGTCCACTTTACTCAGGTTCGCACTGCTGCTGAGTACCTGACTGCGATTAAGGCCCGCTACTCCACTCCTGCTGCTGTCTCTCTTGGCCGCCTTTTCCTCCCGTTCCTGTTCCCTGACCTCGCCTCATTTGAGCGCTCTGCTGACTTGATTGCTCACCTCCGCTCGCTCGACTCTAGTTACCGCGCTGCTTGCACTGAGGCACAACTTGCACTGCTTCCTCCTCCCATGGCGATTACTATCTATTTCATCGCCACTAGCCTCCCTGACCGCCTTGCCTCTGTTCGTGACGCGCTTCTCCTGAAGCACCCTAGTGAGCTCACTATTGAGGTCCTTGAGTCCGCGCTCATCGAGAGCAACCTCCGCTCCGTAGCCGCTGCCTCTCGTGCTGTGCCTCCCCCACTCGTCCACGGGTGCATTGTTCCGCAGTTGCCCACCTTTACTGCCTCTCTCGCCACTGCCGCTACTGACGCGACCGCAGCTACTGTTATGACTTCGTCGCGGTCCCGCGGTAGGGGTGGCAAGAGGGGCGGTGCTGGTGGCGGCGTTGGTGGAGGCGGAGGTAGTGGGGGTGGCGTTGCGACTGGCGGTGGTAAGAGTGCAGGGCCTGGAGAGACGTCTCGTGCAGCGACCGGTGACTCCACTGCGCCTGCTGGTGGTGGCGACGCCCGAGTTCGTCAGTCGCCCCCTGTACTGCCAGCCCCGGTGGGTGGAGCAGCGGCGTGGTACCGGGCCCAGCGTCAGCAGCAGCTTCAGCAGCAGCAGCAGCCCCTCTCCTCCCCTCGGGGCCGCGTCAGCCCCAGCGTGGTGCTGTTTACCCTCCCTCCACCTATCAGGTTTTGACAAGTGCTCGCCGGGGCCACCCTTGTGGCCGCCTTCACCCCCCTGGTCAGTGCTTTGCTCAGCTCACTGACACGGTTCGTTTGGTTTACGGGGTTGGCGGTCCGGCCCCTTACTGGCTTCCCCTTGTTCAGCGTTACGGCTCCACTTTGTGGGACATGTCTTCCGATCTTCCTCCTCTCCTTCAACTTCATTTTCTTCCCCACTCCCTCGCCCCTCTCGTTCCTTTGTCCTCTGTCTCTCCCCTGCCAGAGGCGGTGCCGAAGCGAATATTGGAGATTATGAACGTCCAGGGACTCACTCGAGAGAACGTCGCCTCCCATCTGCAGGTCAGTGCTACTGCTGCTGCTGCTCCCTCTCCTGCTCCTGCTCCTGCTTTTGATCCTGCTCCCACTCCTCTTCCGACCCCTCCCCCTGCCCCCCCCCCCCCCCTCTTCCCTCTTCCCCCCTGCCTCCGCCTCCACCTCCTCCAACACTTGTCCTCCTCTCGTTCTTTGTCGTCAACTCAGGTCCTCCCTTCCAATGCAAAGCACCGTAGAGTCAACCAGATGTCGTCCGCAACCCCCACCTGACCTCTCAACAACTCGTTTGTCTCCCTCCCTCCCTCCCTCCCTCCCTCCCTCCCTCCCTCCCTCCCTCCCTCCCTCCCTCCCTCCTCCCTCCCTCCCTCCCTCCCTCCCTCCCCCCCTCCCTCTCCTCCTCCTGCCCCCCGCCTTCTCCCCATATTTTCATGTACAGAAGTACCGCCTATACCTAAAGCGGCTAAGCGGGGTGAACCCACAGCCGCACCCAGTGGCCTCCTTCCAAGCCACAGAGGGCAGTGCGTTCGGGGGCACGCTGCACGTGCAGCTACCCGGCTCACGCTCCTCCAAAACCCCCTCCATGAGCCTCTCTGATGCGGTTGCTGCTGCTGCCGCCGCTGCTGGTGCTGGGGGCGGGCTGGGCGGCGCCGGTGGGATTGGGGGTCGAGGGGGAGGGGGAGGGGGAGGGGGAGGGGGAGGGGGAGGGGGAGGGGGAGGGGGAGGGGGAGGGGGAGGGGGAGGGGGAGGGGGCGGCGGAGGTGGTGGTGCCGGCGGCGGGGGTCTTTTTGCTGGGCTTGGCGGGTTGGGTGGTTTAGGCGGGGGGGATGGTGTTGGCGGCGGTGGTGGTGGTGGAGGTGGTGGTGGTGCGGCTGCTGCGGCTGCTGCAGCGGCAGCAGCAGCAGCTATGGTCGCTGGTGGGGGCTTGGACGCGTCCACTCTAGCCACAATCGCACAGATTCAAGCCATTCAGCAGCAACAGCAGCAGCAGCAGCAACAGCAGCGGAGGCAGGCAGGCGCGACAGGTGCCAGCTCCCCATTGGCCCATCTGGCTGCTGGAGGAGCGGGAGGAGGAGGTTTTGGAAACTCCGCTTCAGCAGCAGCCATGGCAGCAGGGTTGTTGGGACCTGCAGCATCCAGAATAGGAGCAAGCCATGAGTACGGATCAGCAGCAGGGGAAGGCGGCGGTGGTGCTGCTGCTGCTGGTGCGGGTGCAGGTGGTATGGCAGGGATAGCCCAAGCGCTAGGCCTTCAGAATCTCTCTCCCTACGAGCTGAACCTTTTACTGCAAGCGCAGCAGGAGAGTGTGGTGCGACAGAGGGGCAGAGGGGGAGCAACAGGGGGGGGAGGCGGAGGGGGAGGGGGAGGGGCGGCTGGGATTTTTGGCGGTATGGACTCATACCTACAGGCTTTAGCAGGGCAGGTGGGATTGTTGGGTGGTGCTGGTACTGGTGGTGGTGGTGCTGCTGGTGCTGGTACAGGTGGGGGTTCTGCTGCTTCTCCAACACACGCTGGGCTTGCAGGGCTGGCTGGTATAGCAGGATTGGGCACAGTGGGTCTGGCCGGGGGAGGAGGCTTGGGAGGGCTTCTGGAAATGGCTACAGGGGGTGCGGGAGGAATGGAGAATGGCGGAGGAGTGGGCTTCTGTTGTTAGCTTAGGTGCTAGCCTTGCTCCGTTGCCTGTTGCTAGTGTAGTTTCTTGTGTAGACTCTAGTTCAGCGACTACCTCGGAGGACGCTTCACTGTCTTTCACGCTGGACTCTGGAGCCTCGCACTGCTTCTTTCGTGACAGCACGACACTTACACCACTTCCTGCGCCTGTCTCTGTGGCGCTGGCTGATCCCACCTCGGGACCAGTCACTGCGCGTCACACTACCACTTTGCCGTGTCCTGCTGCTCCCTCCGGGTCTCTCACTGGGTTTCACGTCCCCTCGTTCTCCCGGAACTTGGTGGGCGTGCGACCCCTCGTGAGTCAGCACGTGGGTGTGTGGTTTGAGCCTTCTGGGGAGACTGCGGTGTGTGTTGACGGGGACTCTTACCAGCCTCTGGCCACCTTTGCTGCTGAGCCGGGCTCCGGTCTCTACACTCTTCACACTGGCCCGCGTGCGCAGCAGCGGCCGCAGCAGCAGCAGCAGCAGCAGCAGCAGCAGCAGCAGCAGCCGCAGCAGCCGCCGCCGCCGCAGCAGTAGCAGCAGCCGCCACCGCAGCAGCCCCTACTCCCTGCCCCTGTCCCTCCCCCTTGTCTCCTCCCTGCGTCTCACCAGGTGGCTACGTCCCCTCGGGTAGTCGCGTCCAGTCAAGTCGTTGCGTCTTGCTCCTGCAGGTCGCTTGCCCACCCCACCGTTCTGTGGCACCACCGGATGGGGCACCCTTCTCTTCCCCGTCTGCGCGCTATGTCTAGTCAGCGTCTGGTCTTAGGTCTCCCGCGTGTCTTGCCGTCGCTGCCGCCGTCCCTTGCACCACCGTGCGGTCCTTGCGTCGAGGGTCGGCTGCGCGCCACCCCTCACTCCTCCTCCCTTCGTCCGGCCAACGAGCCTTTTGAGACACTCCACAGGGGCCCCTCCCCTCGCTCTGGCCCTGAGCGTGAGCGTTTCTTTTTGGTGGTCGTTGACGACTACTCCCGCTACACCACAGTGTTCCCCCTGGCGAAGAAGTCTGAGGTGACTTCTACGCTCATCAGGTGGTTGCTTACCACGCAGGACACTCGTGGTCGTCGTGTCAGCTGTCTTCACTCCGACCGCGGGGGTGAGTTTCGCTCCGGCGTTCTCGCTGGATTCTGTCGCGAGCAGGGCATTCGTCAGTCCTGGACGCTTCCAGAGTCCCCACAGCAGAATGGGGTTGCTGAGCGCCGCATTGGCTTGGTCATGGAGATCGTCCGCACTTCCTTGACTCACGCCCGTGCCCCCCATTTTCTGTGGCCTTACGCGGTTCGGTACGCCGCGCACCAGCTGAACCTCTGGCCACGCGTCTCTCGGCCAGAGGCTTCGCCGACCAGTCTTTGGACCGGGTCCCCTGGTGTTACGTCGCAGTTTCGTGTCTGGGGTTGCTTGGCTCTTGTCCGCGACACCTCTGCGGACAAGCTCTCGCCTCGCGCTGTTCCTTGTGTCTTCCTTGGTTTCCCTGAGGACTCCTCTGACTTCACCTTTTACCACCCTCCCTCTCACCGGTTCTTTGACTCCCGTGACGTCCGTTTTGAGGAGTCCACCCCCTACTACGTCAGGTACCCCAGTCGAGGTCTCCCGGTTCCTCCTCCCCCTCTCTTCCTGACTGCCGCTCCCCCTCCTGCTCCCCCGGTACAGCCTCCCCCCCCTGGTCCAGCCCCGTCAGGTGTGTCCCAGGCTACCCCTCCACCTTCGGCAACCCCTCCGGTACAGCCTCCCTCCCCACAGTCCTCCTCGCAGCGTGATGCAGGTGCTAGCTCTCGAGAGGTTGGTGCTGAGCCTGTTCCTGTACCGGTTTCTGGTTCTGGGGGTGCTGGAGTTGGAGCTGAGCCGGTGGGTGCAGATGACTTTTGTCTTCCGGGAGCTGGTAATGGTCGCGCGGACACTGGGGGTGCTCCGTCTGGGGGTGAGGGTGCGCCTCCTTCGGGTTCTGGTGCGCCTGGGTCTGGAGCTGGTGTTGGTGCTGCCTCTGGGGGTGGTGCGCCTGGTGCTTCGGAGGTGGACTCTGGGGCTGCCGCTGCCCCGGACACTACTCCGCTCCCCCACCCCTACCCGACTAGGCTCCAGGCTCGTGTTCGCCGTGCCCGTGAGGAGCAGCTGGAGTTGGAGAGAGAGGAGAGGGAGTTACAGCGGCTGGAGGAGCAGCAGCAGCAGCTGGAGCCGCAGGAGCAGCAGCAGCAGCAGCAGCAGCAGCTGGAGCCGCAGGAGCAGCAGTCCCAGCAGCAGCCGCAGCCGCAGCAGCACCAGCACCAGCCGCAACAGCAGCAGCAGCAGCCACCTCGGGTCTTCGGACCCTTGGTCTCCCCTCTCGCTCTCCTTCCTCCTCCCCCTCTCCTCCTGTCTACGGTCCCACGTTTCCTCCTCCTGACTCCTCCCCCGCTGTTTTCCCCAGTTCTCCGCCTTTGTCGTCTCCTCCTCCGTCTCGTACTTGGGCTACTCGTCGCTCTCCTCGTGCTCGTCCCTCGTCCCCTGTTCCTTTCATTGACCTTCGTACTGTCTTCTTGCGTTCTAGTCCGCCTCCTTCGGCTCCTCCTGTGCTTCTTTCTCTTCCTGAGTCGGCCCTCACAGCTTCTCTCTCTACCCCTGTCACTGACTACTACCGCACGTACCATCCTGTTCTCTCTCGTGTTCTCGCCTCTCTTGTTACCCACCCTCGTGCCTCTTTGTCCTCTGTCTCCGCTCTTACTGCCGCGGTTACTGCGTTTTCCTCTACTCGCCGCCTTGACTACGCCACCACTCTTGTGGCTGCTCCTCCTTCCAGTCCTCTGGCCGTTGGGGGTGTGTCTGCCCTTGGCTGTGACGTCCTAGAGGACAGGCAGTTTGAGCTAGAGTTCCTGGCAGCCGCTTCCCCTCATCTCTGTGCCATGCTCCTCGCCCCTGAGGGTGACCCCGACGCCCTTGACATTCCGACTCCTCGCACTTACGCTGAGGCAGTGTCAGAGCCTTGGGCCTCTCAGTGGAGAGCTGCCATGGACGCAGAGATGGCCTCCTACAGATCCACAGGCACCTACGTCGATGAGGTTCCTCCCCCTGGGACGAACGTAGTCGATGGCATGTGGATCTACAGGGTGAAGCGGCCACCGGGATCTCCTCCGGTCTTCAAGGCGCGCTACGTGGCTAGAGGTTTCAGTCAGCGCGAGGGAGTTGACTTCTTTCAGACCTTCGCGCCGACCCCGAAGATGACCACTCTTCGGGTGTTACTGCACGTAGCAGCACAGAGAGACTACGAGTTACACTCTCTCGACTTCTCCACTGCTTTTCTTCAGGGCAGCCTACACGAGGAGGTCTGGCTGCGTCGTCCCTCTGCCTTCACTGGCACTTTCCCTCATGGGACCCAGTGGAGGCAGAGGTGACCTGTCTACGGTCTTTGCCAGGCCCCTCGTGAGTGGCACGACACTCTCCGCTCTACCCTCTCTGACCTTGGGTTCCAGCCGTCTTCTGCCGACCCGTCGCTGTTCGTTCGCCGTGGCTCCACACCGTTCTTCGTTCTGGTCTACGTCGACGACCTCGTTTTCGCCACTGCTGACAGGGTTGCTTTGGCAGACGTGAAGTCCGAACTGCAGAAGAGACACACGTGCACTGACCTTGGTGAGCTGCGCCATTACCTTGGGCTGCAGATCACCAGGGACAGAGCTGCTCGCACCATTACACTCTCACAGTCACACATGGTGCAGCAGGTCCTTCAGCGGTTCGGGCTTCAGCACTCCACAGTACAGCGCACACCTCTTGCTGTTGACCACAGACTCACTGGACCCTTTCCTGACGAGCCGTTTGAGCCTAGTGGTCCCTACGCAGAGCTTGTGGGTTGCCTCATGTACCTGATGACTTGTACTCGCCCGGACCTCGCTTTCCCTCTCAGCATCCTTGCGCGCTTTGTTGCGCCAGGGAGACACCGTCCTGTTCACTGGACAGCAGCTGTGAGGGTGGCGAAGTACCTAGCGACGACATCAGGCGTGGGGCTAGTTCTTGGAGGGCAGCAGTCTGTCGTACTTACTGGTCATTGTGACTCTTCTTACGCTGACGACGCTGAGACTCACAGGACTAGTCAGGGGTACCGTTTCAGCCTGGATTCTGGAGCTGTTTCCTATCGGTCCACGCGCTCCTCTTCGGTCTCGACCTCTACAGCTGAGGCTGAGATCTACGCTGGTGCCATGGCGGCATAGGAGCTGCGTTGGTTGACGTTCTTGCTCGCCGACCTTGGTGAGCGGCCGAGCTCTGCACCGACCTTGTTCACTGACAACAAGGCATCCATTCTCCTTTGTCGAGAGCCGCGACTGGAGAGCAGAGTGAAGCACATTAACGTCAGGTACTTTCTTCTGCGAGAGTTGCAGAGACGTGGACAGGCTCGCTTCGAGTTTGTGGAGTCCGAGGCCAACACTGCAGACATCTTCACCAAGGCGCTTCCGCCTTGTGACCACCACAGGTGCTGTGTGCAGTTAGGCCTTGTTGACACTGGTTCTCGTCTTACTTAGTCTTGAGTTCACTGTTTGCTTTGCTTGTACACTTTCTATATATCTCTGTTATTGCTTGGACTGGCCTTGTGGCCATTGTTGCTTGTGCTCAGAGTGTGTGGTGACGTTGTGATCCACCCTGAGCTTTGTTTCTTTGTGACTGGTCTTGTGACCGTACTCTTTTGGTTCTGCTAGACACCCCTCACTTAGGCTATGGGGGTGTGTCAAATGTTGTATTTTGTAGTGAGGTTTGTCTTAGGGGGTACAAAAGTTAGGGTTTGTTATATGTACCCCAAACCAACATCAATGCATCATTCATTCCTCAGTTTGACACTTGACCATAGTGAATGTACATGACAAGATGATAATTATGAAAAATGCATCGCAAAGAGTAGGTCATAGCTAATCATGTACTATAAGGGTGCATTAACGACGAGATGTTGCTACAGTAGCAGCCACTATTGCGATTCATTTAGTTACCTTGTTGCAACGTGAAACCTTCGAGACAGTTAAGACATGCGTATGAGTTCGCAACCTCTTGG